TACTGTGCACTACAATAAATTTTACAGTAGTAAAATACAGTAAAATTTATTGTAATGCACAGTAAAATTTGCCTAAATACTATATTGTCCACAATTAACATGATTTGCAGGGTAAATTTTAAAAAAATTCTCTGCACCATTAAACAGTTTTGAGAACTGAAATTCACAGTCTTTTAGTGATATTCGTTGTTTAAATCAATTTATTATCACTGAAACAACATTGAATTAAATACTCACTATTTATCACAGTTCTAACAAGTGCCGCTGGAAAATGATATCTAAGTGATGAAAGTGAATCATCACTAAAAATCGGTGATGATTCACTTTTGGAGAGTAAGAGAATAAAAAATTGATAACATGTATAATGTAAATTATTTATAATATACAATACGCAAGGTAATTGTATGTCAATATTTTAGGAGATAAAGTTATAGGGAAAGAAATACGGGATTATATTCATTACCGTTTCTTACAGGCGGAAGATGTTGTGAGACTGATAAACGAGAAGAGAGGACCCATCGACGCTTTGCAACAGCAAGTGATCGGAAAGACGCGAGTACTGCTGGATGGGGACAGCAAGAATTGTAGACGGCAGGAATGCAATATGGGAAATTTGATCTGTGACGCTTTACTCGATTACGTAAGATTTCCAATCGATGTAATGAGCACTTTCTAGTTGTGCGACGTTGCGAAATATTCTTGAGGAAGATTGATGTCCTCTTTTTTTGCTCGCAGTACGCCGGAGAATATTTGAATAAGGACGGATGGACGGATGCCGCTATCGCGGTGCAGAATAGCGGCACCATCAGATCGTCCATCACCAGAGCCAGAGACGATCAGGTTTTAATTCATATATAAATTTTACAATTTTCCAGCCGATTTGCACTCGTAAATCTTATTATCGTATTTATCGTAAAATCATAAAATTATTTATAGGTCACTCGTGAAGACATCATAAGTGTCCTGCCCTTTGGAAACATCGTCACCAAAGCTTCCATGACGGGACAACAGATCCTCTCGATGCTGGAGTGGAGCGTTCATAATCTCGACAACATAACTTCCACCGGGAATTTATTCGGCGCTTATCTACAATATTCGGGATTGCAGGTAATTTGTTTAAATCTATTCCGAAAGAGATTAATTAATCCTTTGAACATTATTAATTTTCGTAACTTCCGCTTGGCAATGATTTGAGCATCGAAAGCACTTCGATCGTTATTCCGTGTTTGCGCGCAGTTTCGTTTTTAAATTTGCGTGATTTACAGGTGGTCTACAACATCAGTCAACCACCGAACTCGAGAGTGGTTTCGGTCCAAGTTCAATGCGCAGCTTGCCGAGTACCGTCGTACAGTGAACTCCAGAAGAATGCAACCTACAATGTCCTCATAAACGATTTCCTCGCGAAAGGTGGAGATGGTTTTCACATGCTGGAAGGTCTTGAAACAGTCTCCCTCGGTAAGATTGTATAACTTTCATTCCGCGATGTGTTTTCAAGCTTTCATTTTCTATCATCATCCATCGAATTTTCTTAACATAATCAGTTGATGAATTTTTTGATAGGTATCACTACGGCGGACGTATTGGAACAGTATTTTCAAAAACATAGCCCGGTGCACACGGGTGTGGAGTGGCGAATTAGATACGTAGATAGTGAGAAAATTGGCTTTCATAATCTTGGAACAACGCATCAATCCGTTGGAATGATGATTCTTTTATCAGCCACAATTTGGTTGTTGTTGACGTAACAAAATGATAACTTATATAATTATAAATTTACATAGGCGGACGTATATCGAATTAAGCTATATTATATTTTACAATTTTATACCTTAATATTGCAATTTGTATCCGTTTTATTTTTTTTTTCACTCGCGTAACAAAGTGAGCGAAACATAAACGTTTCTCCACGACATAGAGAAATGACGTATAATAAAAAAAGAGGGGATTCAAATATACAGTATTGTCCGCCATAATTTTAATCTTTTAAAAATATTATACACGCCAAAAAATTATACTTAATAAATATAACATTATATATGTAATAAAACTCTTTCAATATATCTATATTTAAAAAATTCTTTTCTATCAAAGAAATTCTTATGTATAAATATATATGTAAAAAGTATTAATCTTTTTCTCTCAAAAAATTCTTATAAAGTGTACTTCTTGTCGCTATTAATCATGCACGAAAAAAGTTAGTAACAATAACATTTCATCAATCGAAAAATATAACGCGTATATTTACTTTCGTATTTGTGGTATCTCATATATATTCCCGTTCAAGTCGTATATTCGTTTCAACGTTTCGATAACGTTATTCATTTCCTCGCAAGGCATCGGCGCGCAATCGTGCAATACTTGTACCATTTTCAATAAGTCTTTAATGATATAAGAAGCCTTATCCTGCACGTTGCCCTCAGTCGCTAAATCCACATATATATTAAATTTCCTTAACGCCTTTTTTATCTTAGCCTTATCCTCCGATTTCTTCACTAAAGTCTGTACCGAAAAAAAATGTATTACCATTAAAATATTGTTTTATTATTACTGATTAAAGTTATTATTAATTAAAGTTATTATTTATTATACCTTGTAGGACTGTAATTCGTGGTATAAAGGCCAATCTTCCTGGCACGGTATGCAATCACAGGTGAAATAATACTGTTTCAGTAGTGCTTGTTGCCTCGCTGCTTTTGACGTGATGGCATAGTGCTTGCCATAATTGTCCAATAACTGTAACAAAATAACATGATGTAATCGAAACGCGGTATAACGCAACAATTTATACAATACAAATAGCTCAATACCTGCTCGCCCTTTTGAATGGGATACATAGCGTACATTACTATATGCTCAAATGTCGAGTCCCTCAATATATTTGGATTGCAGCTGTGATTAAATAAACTACAAAATGGCATCGCGGCTATACCCCGTTCTACAGACTCTAAACCGTGCGTTTCATCAAACTGCAAACATCAGATTTAACTGGCAAATTGACAAAATAAAATTGTAAACCAAGCGAATAATACAAAAAAAGCATTCATTGACGCGTCCGAGAAAGATGTGAAGATCACATCGGGCACATAATACCAAGATACATATCTATATTGATATTATATATAGAATATGTATTAAGATATTCTTATATAGAATATGTATCAAGATTCATAGCCGATATCGTGCATACAGTGTGCATATTACTGGGAATTATCTGCTGATGTTTCAAAATAAGACCGCCGACGAATGTGACGTCGTCGTTCTTCGCCAACGCGCTCAAGTCCTCGGGTAGTTTAGCACCAAATATCACAGTGCGCGTGGCTAAAAAGTACAAAATGAACGAGGCGTCCAGAGATCTCTTGAAGAGATCAGAGGCGGATCTCTTCTCCGTATTCGTCACGAGGCTGTACACGCCAGTATATCTATCGCTGTGTAATTTTCCATCTCGGGAAAAACCTCGTGTCCGTGGATCTAAAAATTAATGAACAAAAAACATATCACACTTATCTGTCGCTATATTAAAGGAGAACAAAGTATAAGTATTAAATACCATCGTGCTCGTCAACCTCTTTTAGCATCGACCTTAATTCCTTAACGCTATCGGCTTCTCTTAGAGCGAGCACGGCGAGCCTCACGCTGAACAAGTCGAGATTATAGTCGGTATATTCGATCAAAGCGGGAAATACAGCGCATTCTATGCTATGACATTTCTCCCACTCGGCGCTTCTGCACTCATCCGAACAGTACATAGCGTAAGTGCAATAGTTACAGGGTATATTCGCCCAGCATACTCTCAAGCAATTGGAGCAATGCGTCTGCGTATTTGCCATCACTAACATTAACGAGTAAGGCTTCTCCACGGCGATCACCTCCCCCGGATGAATGTCGCGAGTGGCAACGACGTGCCTGCCGTGGCGCTTATTGTATTTTATGGCTACCGCGTCCGAGGCGTAAGGAACTTCATCGTTGTGGGATTCCGCAGTAGGAAGAGCGGCAGGTTCCGCTGCCTTCGCATCTGTATTCGTAGTACACAGTTCTGTCTGTGCAGTCTTGTTGCGCAGAACATCGAGCTTCGTTGCTAATTTTTCGCGATTCGTGTCATTCAGAGACATCTTGTCCAGCCAGTGCTGCGCCTCCTTAAGCCAATCCTCCGCAGAACGATTTCCCAACGTCATCAAGCATTCCGTTTTGCGCAGATAAAGCTTCGCTCTCAGATTGTCGGGATAATTTAGGGCCAGTGCTCTGTCGATGTCCTGAATGCACTCCAGATACAGGCCCAATTGAAACAGAACCGCCGACCTGTTGGCGTAACCAAGGGCAAGCTGCTCGGATGGATATGGCGCGAAGGCTATGCTCTTTGCGTATAATTTCAGCGCACTGATGCAAGTCATGTTATTGAGGACGCCTTTGACGAAAACTTTATTGCCTTCCTCCCGTAATTTCTCAGATTCTTTGGCATTTTTTGGCATACCAGTTGCGCTAGGAACTATATCATATTCACGTATTATATTCAGAGTAAATACTATACGTTCCTGATCAGTCTTTAATTTCCTAAATTGATCCGTCAGTTCAAGGTGCTTGCCGGCTGCAAATAATCTGGCATATAACGTGTTCTGTACTTTATCCATTTCGTTGTCTTAGAAATACTTTAATATTGTTGATCCAATACTTTTGTGTAGGGCAGAATCTAGAAAAAAAATATCCATCTTTTTCAAAAGATCCTTTATCAAAAGATAGGCTGCGTTCCACTTAACTCTCGCAACGCTCTTGAAATATCATTTTATCCTTATCAAATGTTAAACAAGGACAAACAATGGCTCACAAGCGTTACGTTAAGTGAAACACAGTCCTTATCGGCATCATAAAATGGCATTACATAGCCTTGATCACAGATATAAAGCACCTTCAATTCACTGAATTTTCTTAGGAAAAAATAGTAATAAAATCCAAAGGAGGATTAACAAAATAATAAAATTGTTAAAAATAAATATTTTTTAAAACTGATCATATTTGTTGAATATAGAACGTATACACGTCAATTTGTGAGAGTGCTTTATAGTTTTACGGCCAAAGTAATGTATTCAATTATTACTGCTCTCAAAATAGTCAGATTAAAGATAATTTGATATCAAATATTTGCAATATTTGCACCACAGATATTCGCATTTTTTATCTTAACTTCTACAGTTTCTCTATCAAATACTGTCTATTACATTGCATATATTATATATACTATCTCGAAATAACTTGCAATGATTTTTTAATTTTATTTCATCATTTTATTACTCGCCGGTATTTATAAACAAAAGCATGTATACTCAACAAATGGCGAGACCACAGGTGATCCAACTTGTTGAATGACGACTCTTTCCGAGAGCAATTTCGTTTCTACTGACCGATCTTTACTTTTACGACCTTAGCCGGATGTTTATCACAAACAATAGGAAACTCACGCGGTTGAATTGCCGACAATAGAATTCTCACTTTCTCTCTATCCTAGAAAATTGCTGCCACCGGTAGATTCGGCTGTGGAATACTACGATTCTTGGACGCCCGTCAATTTAGTAACAAAAGAATGTCTATAAATATGGTAATTATTTTAGTAATAATTTTCTGTAACTAGCGGTGATTTGGTAGCATTTAAATACCGACGTAACCGCGGGAAATTTGATTTAAACAGGATATAACGCAATCAACGTAATACGTATAACGTGCAAATAACGTATGTTGTATTACTGAAATAATTGTAATGTGTTGTCAAAGTAATAATGAGATATACAATATGATATCTTTTTCAGAGAAAACAACGATTTTCTGTTTCGCTGCTTATATATTTTAACTTGCTGTTTCTAATCGCAACATTCTGATTGCAATTCGTCAAAAAAACATTAATGGCATTAAATGTATTCCTCAAATTTGGCAAATATAAAATTTTTAATAATGTTTTTATTAACAAATAAAGAGTGTTCTTCGCGCGTCTGTACGCAAATTTCTCCGCGCAGTCTCGGTACCGATCGTAATTGTTGGACGCGCGTTATGTACACTTACGTCGTCAAGACGACACATCGACGCCATCGACTGCCTCGCTTCAGTAAAGGCGTACGTGTACTTGTTCAATATACATGTGTCGCTGACAGTAATTCGTCGAAGTTCTCTTCTGCAAAAATGTCTTTGCACGCGACACCCATCCTGTATTTAAATATGGGCGGCGAAATGCTGTACGTTTTGCGACAGAGGCTGAAGGCGCAAAAGATCGACGTCGACAAGACGATACAAGGTGCGGATACGTTCAAAAGTGCTTTCGAATATTTCGAAAATACTTGGAAAATGTTTGGCTGATATTTTTGTACAAATAATATAATATGTATATCTAACACATAATAATATATAATTTGTGTAATTACACTGGTAATAACAATTATATAAAAGATTCTTTTATATAATTGTGGTATCACCTTTCGACAATTTTTAAATAACACAAAAGTTTCCACTTTTTAAGATTTCACTAAAATTAATGTATTATTATGTAACATTCAACCTGAATTATTATATTATAACAAAAATTAATAACATAAATTTTATATACTATTAAAAAATATTTTATATATTATTAAAATATGACACTAAACAAATAAGATTATTTAAGCTAATGTAACAAGACTAGTTTAATATAGTTTAATTGCAGTATTGGACGACGTGACAACCGCTTTGCTCAATCCCAAGTTATTATCGCCGATTTTCGAAGAATCGCCACTGATCGGTGTATCGCAATTGCGCACCACTTTGGAGAGCGTCGCTCTTTCATCCATCATGAAACTAGACAAGAATAGTATGGACAAACTATTCGACCTGATGATCATGATGGTAAAGTATCAATTGAAGTCGGCTACTGGACCCAGAGAAGTTATTCTCATCACTCTGAATCACATAGACGCGATGCGCGACATGGTCAGCGACGTAAATGCGCAAAAGTGCGTTGCCATGGTGCATCAGATGATTGTCAACGTGAGTATAATCGCATATTCGGCAAATATTCAACTCAACAAGAATCTCTTGTCCACTTTTCCAAAACGCAGTTCTACGGCTGCCTGACCTTCGAAGAGGTGTGGAACGCGCGGCAGAGTTGCCTGAAGGAATTAGAGCCGTATTGCGTGCGAGTCTCGATCCTCCTGCGACGCGGTCTGCAGAACGACGACGCCAGCTTCAACGTGGCACCGCAGAAGTACGACGAGAAGTACGCGGAGCACGGGAGCATCTTAGCCGCCATGAGGATTAAAGATGTGAGCCCTGAAACGTGCTGCGGAGGATCCTTCGAGCCTTTCAGCGACAGAAAGACGATATTGGGCAAAAATATGTAAGACGAGAAATATATAAAGTGCCGCTCGTAGAAATACAGAAAATTAAAAAAAGAACTTTACTTATTCCTTTCTTCTATGTAGATATCTGCCAACGTATGGCATAACGGAAGCTGCAAGGCGCGACAGCCAGCAGTTCCTAAGAGACTGCGGCGCGAAAGCGGAATTAGGTATGCTGGCCGTTCAGCTGGGCACCGAGGAGACCAATTACGAGAGACCGTTCACGCTTAACTTACTGTCGAATATGGACGAGGAGAATGTAAATAATGCGAATAGGGAAATCGATGCCGAGGGGAACAACGCTAAACGAAGCAACGCGGAAAACGAAAAGCCAAAATTGAACGACGACTATAAAGCCAAACTCGACACTGTATACGCGGATTTTTTCGAGGACGAGCAGGAAGGCAGCTTGAAACGCAGTATGGATTTGCTCGACCTTCTCGACGAGATCGAATGATTTGAGATTTTAATCGACGCATATAACGCATTGCAATTATTTTTCCTATATTTTTCTTGCATATTTGTACACACCGTGTTTCTAATAGAAATAAAATATATTCTCCCATGTGAAAAGTTACTCCTCTATTTTACAAAACGGTACTTCAATTCGCTTCAATCTTATGCAAAGCACAAGAAAAACGGTACGCGGAATATATTGCAGAATCCTAACTGGATGGTAACTTTAAATGCTATCAAATGCACCGACAGAAGTTACGGAAAAAGTGGAAAACAGATTATCTCCGCGCGCAAATACATATATACAAACGTTTTAAGACTCCGTTAAATCTAAAATATACTTCACGCCCGTTCGACCGTTGAAATTGAGCGCCTTGGCGATGGCTTCTTGATATTCGCGGAAAGGCACCAGTTTATGCGGCGGCGGCTGCAATTTCTTATCCCTAAAGAAACCGGCTAGATTCTTAAACATATCCACTCTCTCCTGGGACTCCATATTCCCTTTCGTCCAGGCCGTCATCCAAAATCCTTTCAATGTTATGTCCTGAAAGTATATCGCGCCAATTAGACTTGGAAAATATTTTTTTTTTTTGGCAAATTTAATTACAAGTACAGTACTGGAATTACCTTAAATATAAGCGAGGCTATCGGTACGTTTAACGGCTCTCTCGACATGCCGCCGTAAGTTACCAAAATACCACCGTGAGCAAGATGTCTCAATACTTCGTGCGCGTTCTGCCCGCCGATGCAGTTGAGCGCCAATTTCGGTGCGAGTAACTTTTTACTTTTGAATAGTTGCGTATTTCGAACCTCCTCCTCGGTCAGCACTTCATCCGCTCCTAAGCTTGCCAATTGATTCTGAATAAATCACAATATTACACATGTATTTTCATAATATTGTACATATTTGTAATATTCTACATGTTGTATTTACATGGAAAAAAAAAATTAAAACAGTTAATATACCTTTAATTCCTGTATGTTCGGCCTGTCTCTGACGACGCTGACAGACTTGTAGCCCCATATTTTACACAATTGAATGACCAGCTGACCAACCGCGGAATTGCCACCGTTTTGTATCACAGTATCCCCGGACTTTAACGGAACAAAATCCTTCAACATCCTGTACGCTGTGCATGGATTCACGTTCATCATACTGGCTACAACTAGATCAACGTCATTCGGTATCTGCAAAACCAGACTAAGAAATTAGCACACATGCGACAAACGCATTATTAAAATAATGTGACTGTTATATACTGCACGCGCACACCTTCATAACATCCTTAGAATTGTAATTAGCTTGCGTCCTCCAGATTCCGAAATTAGGGCCATTCGGCACCACCCTGTCTCCGACGTGCAAATCTTGAACGTTAGGTCCAATCGCCACGATTTCTCCGACCCCTTCGTTTCCCGGCACCGCTGGCAGTGATGGCCTGCTAGGATACTTCCCTTGTATCGTGTTTATATCGGCTGGATTCACCGGAGATAGTAGCCATTTCACAGAGACCTGAGATCATAAAGATTCGATTAGATCATAGGCGTTGTACGATTAAAAATTCACGGATGATGGCAGATAAACTTTAATTGCGACAATAATTACTTGATCGCCCGCTGGCTGTTCTATCGTTTGCGTTGTCACTTGAAGAACCTCGAGGGGCTCGCCGTACTCCTTGTATAACAGAGATTTCACACAGTCGGTGTTAATTGCAGCACTCATTTGCCGAATGTTCGTCAGGTTACACGTAACCGATCGTGAGAGCGATGAAATTAATTTGCCTGCTAACATAGCTTCGACGTGCCGCGACTTTGACGTTCGTTATAACATTCGTTTCGTAAAAATTTCAGAGCAAAACTTCACGTCACTTCACGTACGGGGGTTGTCGAGGTTACAAACGTCACGAGCCGGTCCAACTCCGATAATCGGTTATCTGCCCCGATGGTTACATAATTTCCAAAAAAATGAGATGATGTTGGTAGCGCGCAACGAAAATCCCTAAGCAACATAACCTATAATTTTTGCGATTGATGCTTGGAACGAGTATGAGTTACCGACGATCTCAGATAACCATACTATTACCATAGGAACGCTATTTACCATATGCACCTAATTCGAGAATCGATAATATCGGTATCGCGTTTTCGCGGAAGATCCGCTGTGTGGCCGGTGTGGGTAATACGTTCGCGTGAAAGTCACCTAATGAAACTGTCGTATATCTGCCATATTTCATGGAACAGTAACATTTTGCTACGCGTCACTATGATCGCGCGGATCGCACTTGACGAATCTGTCGTCTTATCCCTCAAAAAACTGTATCCGACGTCGAATTTTCCAACGAATCGACGCCGTAAGACCTGAAAATGTCGAAATTCGCCACCGGATCGCGAATTAACCGGAACGCAGCGTTCAACGTGCGCGATTCCTTCTCGTGTTGAAAATTTAGACAGCTCGGCGAAGTCGCAGATATTAATCCCTGATTATCGGTTCATGCATAAATTACCTGGCGATGATCCTAGGCTTGCACACGTATCCTGGCATTTCTGGCTGTATTTAGAGCAGAATCCAAAATATCCAGGCTAGAATCCAGGCGGCTCCTTGTTCGATGCTCCACGCAGCACAGGATCTCCGGATCGCCGGTACTTCGA